TTTTTTCACAAAGTATATTATTTATGGGATTTTGTTAACTGTTAATCGTTGGTGATTAGTAAGGAAAATGAAGCAAATGATACTTTCGAGTATGGATCGTTTACTTGGAGGATCGATGACTTCTCTAAGCTCAAGGACAACATACATTGCTCCCAAACTTTCAACATTGCTGAACTCAAATAACTGACTACGCTGAAGACATCCATTGATATCTTTGAATTAATTGGATTCAACCAATATCTCTCCTGACAATTGAGCTACTTCACAGAAGTTATTGTTCTGCATGCATATCCTATGACTCTTGAGATTTGTAACTTCAATTGTTCTGCATGTGTGTATAAAGATGCGACTAATTAGGGTTTTAACTAGTGAACAAAATGGAAATTGTGCGTATGACTATGAAGAGCGTTGAATCTTTTACATGAGTGGGTGAAAATTTATGGTTAAATTAAAAATGTATCTACATCTATAGGTTTGTTTTTGTGAATAAAGAACATTAGCTAGGCCATTAGGCCTTAGTGTATAGGCTTATTTAAGGGTGATTAGCTAGTGTGGTTTTGGTAATTAGATTCAAGAACATCCCCTGCAAAATTAATCTTTTACGTGGGTGGAGACTCCGTGCTGTTCCGTTCCATTCCATCCCATCCCGTCTCGTCTGCGTACCAAACGATACCTGAGAGACCCACCCACATGGGATTTGTCTTCCCGTGCACTGCACCCTTCCAGTTTCCTCACTTTATCTTCTTTCTCTTCCCTCTATAGTCTGTACCACGTGAAAGATTTAATTGAAGAGAAATGCAATGCTAGAGTTTAAACTCTAGCATTTTTGCAAAAGTTTTGCAACTTTGCAAAAGCTTGCAAAATGAGGATGCTACTTTGCAACTTGCAATTTTATGCAAATTGCAAAGTTGAAATGGGTTAGTAAAACAATTAAGGATATGAAAAACAAAATACACGACTTAGTAGATGACCTTTATGCAAGAGATAATTATTCAAAGGCACTGGAATGATGATGATGAATTGCGTGCAAATTGCATGCAATGATGCAAAACTACCAAAATGAGTTGGTAAAGCAATTAAGGAAATGAAAAACAAAATGGACGACTTGGTAGATGACTCTTATGAATGAGATAATTATTCAAAGCCACTGGATTGATGATGATGAATTGCATGCAAATTTGCAAAACTTTTGCAAAAGTTTGCAATTTTATGCAAATTTTCAAACGTTGCAAAACTTACGCAAATTTTCAAATTTGCAATTTTATGCAAATTTGCAACTTTATGCAAATTTGCAACTTTTGCAAAACTTATGCGAATTTGCAACTTTGCAAAAGTTGCAAAATAATCGTCGTACTAAGAGTTTTATCAAGTGGAGGTACAACTACATCTGGTTCCCGACATGATCGAGGTTGAGGAAACTAGGGATGCTACTCCTGTCAATTTGCACGCAATGAGGAGGATGATGATGCAAAACGCCCAAAATGGGTTGGTAAAGCAATTAAGGATATAAAAAATAAAATGGACGACTTAGTAGATGACTCTTATGAAGGGGATAATTATTCAAAAGCATTAGAATGATGATGATGATGATGCATTGTTTGAAATTTGCATGGAATGATGATGATTTGCAAGCAAATTGCAGAACTTCAATATGTGTGGAATTTTTTCAAACGCAATGCCTTGTTAGGAATGAGAGTAAATAACGATGGGGTGCAAGACAACACTCGTAGATATCCCTTTTAGGTACAAGTTTGGCTAATGTTTGGAACTGACCAACAAGGAAATCTGCACTAACATTCCCCGCAAACTCGACTTTGAGAACTTTTGTATATGATGCAGCTCGGATGAAGATGATGATGGTTTGCTTGCAAATCTTCGATTTGCTTGCAATTTAAACATAATTTGCTTGCAAATTTGCGTGCGATGATGATGATGATGAGTAATGACATTTGGGTTCTCTTTGTGTTCATCTCATTTCGTGCGTCGTTACATCAAGTGGGGCACACCTGATGCTCATTATCTAGCATTGTCTTCTCAAGATGGTTACTGCACTAGGGTTGCCAATATGATGGTTCCAATTAATAAACAAGCCCAACATACAAACTCATTCAATTCAATTTTTTTCCCATCATTATCTATCTTTCTCTTTGCTACTTTTAACGTACCTAAAAATTAATAAGAAAATAACACCACGCATGCTATAGACTCAGGAAAAAAAAAGGGATGTAAGAAGAAGAAAGGAGAGGATTTTTGGAAGGTAGTGAGTAAAAAAAACCAACTCCTCGAAGAATAGGGCTATCCACCAACCACCCACTACCAATTATTATATTTAGGATGTGCTATTTATACACTTATTTTTAATTTATGTCATTTGATATTCTTCATGTGCATCCGCCAACTCACAGTAGATGCAATTAGGCCTGCACTTGCTCCCAAGTATGCAGCCCAATCTGTTCATTTTTCTCAAAATTTTCAACTTCTTAGTTTCTTTTGATTGAGAGGATCAGATTCACTTCACGAGATCAAAAGGTGTGGCAGGTTGAGTATTGCACTCCATCCATGATCTTACCCGCTGTGTAATATCTTACGATCTCATATGATATCTCACACCTCTCTCTCTCACTCACTCACTTATCTCTCACCTTTTTTTCACTCACTCTCCCTATATAACTAAGCCCTCTCCCTCACACCTCACACCTCCCTTTCACTCTTACTGCTACCTCACGCCTCTCTCTCTTCTATACTAACTATATTTCTTCATTCACCTCATTCTTTGAGCTTCTTCGACCTTATAGTTCACATCATGAACTCGAAAAACCGTCATTGCAAGGTAAACTTTCTCAATTTTTTTATCAGATTTTGTAGTTTTCGAAAATGTTTTTCTTTCTTTTTCACAAAGTATATTATTTTATGGGATTTTGTTAACTGTTAATTGTTGGTGATTAGTAGAGTGCAGCGTAAGGAAAAGGAAGCATATGATACTTTCAAGTATGGATCGTTTACATAGAGGATCGAGGACTTCTCTAAACTCAAGAACGACATACATTGCTCCCAAACTTTCAACATTGCTGGACCCTTCTTTCCCAGAGAAAAGCCATCTTGGACAGTACTATTAGAAGCCAAGATTACCTTTTAGTTGATGGTTTTGAGATTGGATTTTCTCGAAACTCATTTTCTTGGATTCATTTTCTTTTCCATATTCAGAACTGCTATTAACTTTTGCATTACCCAAAAAGTGCAAAATACACCTGTAGCTATGGCTGCTGCTTGGGCAACGAGCTGCAAATTTTTAATTTTATTTTTGGAAGGGTTAAAAGTGATTTTCAACAAACTAGAAGCGTTTTTTATGTTTGATGTGATTTGTTTGGAATATTGGATAACTCTTTTAACCTCTAGATATTTGGTTACAAAAACACAAAATTCAAGATCTAAATGTTAAAAGGCCATAGTATTGTATGCTCCGGAGCACAACAAAGCTAAGTTTTTATGTTTGGAACAAGACTCAAAAGTGAATCTGAGTTGTCGTTATTTAACTTATTTCCTTCCTCGCAATCACGAGATCAAGAAGTCAGTAGCGCCTAACGCCACATAAACATATTTTACTCACCGGCCGAACTCGGCCGATGAGTTGGCATGCCCCGCATTCAACCGAATGACGTAATTAGCTTACTAATTAATCGGCATGCGCGCCACGTAGGCTTGGTAGTTTTTTGGATCAACACAACCTTACTTTTTTTTTGTAAGAGTATCATTGTAACAATTAACACACATTATAATGCTATGTTACGATGTGACAATTATAAAATTGGAGGGGGATTGGGTTTGTTCGCATGCCTCAACTCAACAATTTGCAATTTTTCTACAATGCAACAAAGCATATTGAATACCCAAAAAATGAACGGCTAAATTTGAACATTAAAATGAATGGTTTTAGGTTCAATTCTCGACAAAAGCAAATTTGAACTACATTATTGCTAACTCATTGTGAGGCTAAGCCTACCCCCTTCCTCTTAGTATAGATAATATCGATTGTTAAAAAAAAATTAAATAAATAAATCATGTGATTTCAAATTCGGAACATTCAATATCACGGGTGTTTTAGCCACACTCGTAGTAGTTGATAGAAGTAGGATGTTTTTTAGCAATAATTTGCGAGGACGACGTTAAAAGCATTCAATTTTGCGTTAGATTCCCCCTTCCTAATATCGCTCGTATAAGAAAATCACTAATCAAAGTTGGGAAATGAAATTGTTGGATTTATTTTCTTAAAAATATTCGGGGTACTAAACTAGAAAATGGAAAACACAAAAAAAAAAAAATAATAAATAAATAAATAAATATATATATATATATATATAAATAATTATGGTACATCAAGGGCATAGTGTATCAAATTTCAGGACCGGAGGCAAACAAGCTAACAAGGCCTCGAAATACTTGTGCTGATAATTTGTGTGCTTGGAAGAGTTCGCCGTCCAAATTCCATACTCTCGTTGCCGGAAGACGTGACGGTAGAGATTAATTTGACAGCACGAGCGATGAAAACATGACGAATAAGCATATGTACGTTTTGATGTTCAACGAACTTGAAATCAAAGGGGTTTCCGCCCTTGTGTGCAAGCTGGGTAAGATGCCTGCAAATTAATCATGCATAAGAAACTTTTAATATGATCTTCATGGATAAAGCAGCGAAAAAGTATCGACATATGCGCGATAATTGATGCCAAGGTCTGCTTGGAATGTATCATAAAAATCATTTGGCCGTCAAATGATTCATGCAGCGTCGAATATGCCCATCCCAACAATTTGAAACCCTAAATTAATTCTATATTGGAAATTACTGCGGCACCAATGCTAAGAAAATTTCTCTTTGACATGGACCATTTTGTTTCTCCTGGATATGAGCAAGGGGTGGTGCCACAGACCTTGCAGTTAACACGGCATATTGCTTGTTAGGATTTATTTGGTTTGACTTGTACATACACTACTTCTGCCTCATAGGACCTGAATGATACACATTTACAAGATAATTTCTTGTTAATCTACACGGTGAAAGTATATCGGAAAACAAATACACAGAGACCATGCGAATGATTTAAGACCCAAAATTCGTGGTTTTGGGACTCGCATAGCAAATATGAAATCCAACTAGCAAATTACCGGTGCTTTAAAAATACCCTTCTTCCTGCATCCAACGGTGTTTTTCACTCTCAGTAATGACATGTCCATAAAATCCGCACCTACAAAATATAGACCATCTGGATTTTTTAGACAACTTAAAATGAGAATCAAATATCTGATTTTCCAGAGCATCACCCATATCATTGAGTCTAAGAAAGAGTTTGTTACCTACAGATGCTCCTTTAAAGCTTATTTTTCACTCTCAGTAATGACATGTCCATAAAATCCGTACCTACAAAATATGGACAGATGCTCCTTTAAAGCTTATTGTGTCACAAAGATTAAAATAAGTCTAAGAAAGTTATAACTTACAACGACTACAACTCCGTCATATGAAGCAAGCTCTTTGTTACCTACAGATGCCATCATATCATATGCATTCCCTGACCTTTGGGTCACAATGACCTGATGTGGGAATTGAAAACAAAATTTATGAAGGATCACTCAACACATTCAATATGTTTGCTTGTGATCTTGATTCCCATTACAATTTACAAGAGTAAATGAACAAGCTAGAATTCTACCCTTGTTTTCACTTTAGCATGGGAGAATATAGGAGCCACCGAGTCCCAAATTTTGCAGCCGTTTCCCTTCCCACTCCTTGGATGAACAAAAACCTAGTCAATCAGAAAAAGATTCTGGAAAATAATTATAATACCACTTTATGTCAATTTTGATCAACCACCTAAAAGGACTCAAAAACCCAAACAAGCACAATGATATAGCGATTGGCAAACTACAAAACTTACCAATAGATTCTTTGGTCGCCCTTGTTCTATGGCCAGAGAAGCATTGATCTGTTCAACCCACATCTGACATGTTTGGAGATCCTTATGACCAAATGTACATGCAGCCAGGACCAAAAGAGAAGGCAGAGCCTTTGACTGCTGGAAACCGTGCACTGTAATGCGGTAAATCTGAACCTACGTAAACACAAACGAAATCAACACTATACGAGGAAGTGAAACAAAAAAGGCCAAGAATGGGAATTGAACAAACCTCGTATTCATGACGACCGGAAAGGCATTTTGTAGCATTTGAAACCTTTGGTCCATGTATCAAACTGTGGCTGATCAACTCAACGGTATACACATCGGAAAATTGGATCTCAGTTGCAACCTTTGAAGCAAATGTGATGCCCAAACAAGTTGAGACATCCTGTTTATTATACAGTACTAGAAATTTTAAAATTTCATGATTAAACGGTACCATCAACTCATCGTTTAACATTAGAAATTTAGAAGAACCCAGTTGCCATTAAAGCCTAATAAGCAGAAGAAATCCCAGATTCCATACAACAAATCAAAATTATCACAAATTGTAACACAATTAAGAAACAAATGTGAATCTGGAGTTGATAAAAACAGAAACTTTACTGACAAAAACAAAAGGGAACGAACAGGAGAGAACTCAAATTACACTATCGAATGGCTCGAGCGATTTCCAAGACAAACCATCTGAGTTGAAGGAGAGGAGGACTTCTGCCGTAGGGTCCAAGGTGAGGCCGCAGCTCAAAGCCGACGCCACGGCTCCGCCGTCGAACTGTGCTTGCTGGATAGGGAGAGATTCATCTGGCTCAATACAGCAATCTACATCTCGTTCCATTCAACGGGGTTTGAATTGTACGAATGGATATTGAGGTTGAAGGCCGAGAAAAGGGAAGAACTTTCAGGTGGAATTTTAAAAAACCGTTGGTCGGATCCGTTGCAAGAGGTGGAATTTGGCGCTTTTATTGAACCAAAACGACAGGAAAACGGGTCGTTGCGGTCAGAGATCCGGCATAGCTTTTCTCTAGTTTTTTTTCTTTTTACCCTTTTACCATTTTCATTATTGGTATGAACTATGAAGCCAAATCAAACCAATAAAATCTGGTAAAATAATATTTACAATTTACAATTAAATGATAACTTGATAAGAAAAATTTAATGTGGTTTAAGTTTGTTGATCAGTGCATTGTGCTTATCTTTATATTCGAGGTCAAAGTTCTCTTCTCGTATATTAAATTGGTCCACAATACCATCTTGTAAAACAAATTTGCAAATTAATTGTCGAATTTTTCTTTTTCTCAAAAGTGAAACTCCTTTATTTAGAGAACATGAATGATGTAGGGATACTCACATAGGCATCTCAGCCTCCTTTGGCATTGTGTGATTCATTAAAATCAGGGATCGAACTCAGGACCTGCTATGTGAAATACGGGCCAAAAGTCATAACGCAACAGCATATGTTGTTTTCATGCTCTAATGTAACAGATTTCGTAGACAATAAAATGGTGCGATAAGAGGACTGTTGCCGACAAGCGGAGCCTTGTCACGGCAGGACAGTGTAAACCTTCACATCGTCCATCTCCGGGCTTCTCACTGAGTACTGAAATGTCCATCCGTGGCAAGCACCGGCATGCACGCCCTTCTTATTGATGGCAAAAACAGCTCCCACAAAACCAGGGAATTTTCTCGCGATTCGTGATATCGCATCCTTGGCAGCGAGTTTAGGTTCCATCCCTAATCTCATACTCTCCACAACTTGATAACTGTAATTCAATCATTTAAACTAGATTGTTAGAGACATTAAACAGAAGTTGAACAGATTCAGTATGGGAGCAAATTGGGGACTAAATACACAAGGCAGAAACAGAAAACAAAGCCTGCTCAACATATCCACAACGCATTCTTTATATCGCGTGGTTCTACCTACAAAGATCCATTGAAGTAGTTTTCACATCCAAATAAACCGGAGCTGCAAATATGAAGCATCGGATTGGTGTATTATGTTCAAAACTCGAGCCACGGTGCCAGTTTATAACAAGCCTCCAACAGCATGGTTTGCTTAATTATTAAGGCTTTAAGAATATGCAAGTCAGTAGCCAAAAATTCATAATTTCATCACCACCCAAAAGGAAAACGTCGAGCATAATAGTTATGGTTTCATTGGAGCAAAACCTAATTTCAAAAACTAAAACTTGTAATTGTTGACTGAAACTGACATCCTTCATCAATTTTATTATTTGCTCCAAAACAAAAGAACCTAAATAGGACCAGGACCAAAGATGACCAATGACTGAGTAAGAGATGTCTTTTCAATTACCATGGGAGGAAACGCATCATGACGTCACCATCTCCGGTTGCACCACAAGCACCAACTTCATCATCAGCATATGCAGAAGATCCAGCAATTGGCCCATCACCCACCCTGCAGTTACGAAAGCAATGTCTTTAGTGGACTGGGGAGATAAATTTGCCATTTCATCATTATTTGATTAAGCTAACCCTATATTCTCTAAATTCTCTATGAGCTATACCAAAAAGACTATAACTTACCTCCCTGGGATCTTAAATGTGGCTCCATTTGTCGAGGTACCAACAGCAATTTTCCCCATCTAGACAAGAAACCGTAGGTAAATCGGTGAAATCAAAGTATTCACAGAAACTTTACTAAGAATGTTAACCAACATCAATTTTCCCCATCTAGACAAGAAAATGTAGGTAAATCGGTGAAATCAAAGTATTCAAAGAAACTTTACTAAGAATGTCAACCTACTTTATCAAAAACTGCCATTGATATGGTGTCGTGGTTGTGACGACCAATGGGAGATGATCTTGGGTTAATATTAGTGGTTTTGGAACACAGCCCATGAGAAAGGCCTGGAGAGTCCTTTGCATGATAAGGGCCACAACTATTAGCAGGTACAACATCTTTCCAAAAATTAGGCTGGCAGTCGTTTTCTTTCCATTTGGTCCACTTCTCAATGGATTCTGATGAATTAAGGTTTGTTGGTCCTGGAAGACCCATTGAAATTGCAAAGGCTGAGGCTTGCTCTCCGACAAGCATAGTGTGTTCGGTATACTGCATCACTAACCTGGCAGCTTTGATTCCATCCTTTACATACCTCATGGCAGCAACAGCTCCAACCTCCATTGTCACCTACGCATGTCCTTAGCAAACAAATAATAGATACTCATTATCAAAGCAAGCAATACAAAATGCTGCAATAGCAAGAGCAACAATTGAGACAGACAGAGTGCGTGAATACTACTTACCCCATCCATGACCAGAGCATCGATTGTAGTTTCTCCGTTCTCATCTGGACTCCCACCAGGGCCAACTGTCCCAACAACATCATATATTATACTTTCTTATAGTAGCTATCAAGCCCATCAACATTCTAATCAACATTCCAAATGAGAAATCATAAAATTAATTACATAATTCAGGAGAAAGTTTTAGCATACAAAGAAAGCAAAACTTACTTTCGGTTATGATTACATCATTTGAAAACTCAATTCATACATACATTCTAACATGTTTGAGGTTTCCATTCTCAGAAGAAGTGATATTGACGTATGCTACATAATACGACTGCCACCGGTAAGAAGCTATTTCTACTGGTTTTCCAAGCACACCCAAGAACTAAGATCCTAACAATTAAACCATGGTTGCTGATTCATTAATTAGTTCATAACATGAATTTCGGGCCGAGAAGCAACAATTTATTTGCCATCTTAATCTTATACCGCGGAATTTCGACTCAAAAAATTGTCTTCCTCCCTCCCCAATGTGTGATTCCAATGCATACAAACACTGACTACCCAAAATTCATACAGATAACGCAAACATCAATTCCTAATAACATTTTTTCTTACATGAAGATAAAATCAACTAAATCCAAGAATCCAAAAACTACCTGTACCATCACATCTGAGCTCCTCGCAAGCCGAGCAACCCTCAACGACGGCATCCACGGCGGAGAACCCATTATCCACAGCCCTCCATGCTGCTCTGACAGCCTCTACGAACGGCCATGTGCTCACCACCACAGGGTACTGCCCTGAATCCGAAGCTTCGTGGCCTATGACCTGATAACCCATCAATAAAAATACGATCTTTAATCAAAATAATACCACCCAGTCATGCATGTAATGAAAGAACCAAAGTACCCAACTGTTTGATTCCTCAGAAAATGCAGGGGAAATTTGAATTACATGAAAAAGATACAAATTTCAGGAACCAATTGGAGGAGATTAAAGAGTGAAAATATAACTAAAATTTATGATCTCGTGTATACTAAATTACCAAGGAAAGCAGCAAAACTGTAAGGATCAAGATTGGTAGAGAGCTCAGACGGTTGGCAGCCATGGAAAGGGGCAATGATTGCTGCTCTGGTATCTTTGGAGCTGCTGGGCACGAGTTTGACTAACAGGTGTTTTAGTTCAAATGCACATTTGGTCACTGTGACTGGGTAAAGTGGATAGTATCACGTTTCACTTTTTAGTGTAAAAATGTGATTTTTCGTTAAAATAAACAGTACCACGAACTTTTGGTTAAAACTCCCTACATATAGGGCATAGTAGTTCTTTTAAGAGTGTTCATGTACTCTTCTGCAAAGAAATTTTTCATTGTGACAGGAATACGGATGGTTCACCACGTGTTTTATAGAAGTGATGAGAAACTTTATTTTTTAAGTTATTAACTTTTTAACACACATATCACACCATTTGTATAGTGACACGTGATGTACCATTTCGTGTACTGATCACCCTGAAAAATCTCTCCATGTGCAAATATGCATTCCAAATACCGATTGGTTGCGTTTCATATTGTGCAAAAAATTGTAAGGGAAATTAGTCGAGTGTGTTGTGAAATTTTAGTGTGAATGCCACATATGTAATTATATAAGAAAACAATCCAAATTAGATTTGGTATGAAAAGTACTAGTAACGTTGTGTTGAAACGCGTATATATAGAGGTAGGTTTGTAACCTTATTACAGACAAAAGATAGAAGAGTAAAAGTAATAATACTAATATCTCTTCCCTCTCTTTACCTGCATCATTTATGAGATACAGTTACAAAAATAAATATTGTGATACATTGCACATATTCCACTCTAGCAAATGTTACCTCTCTTTCTCTCTCACTTTTTTCTATTTATAAGAGTGAAATTTGTAAACTTCTAGTGCATGCTTGTTCAGGAAATTGACCAGGACCACTATCGTTCCGAACTTGCTGGACGTGCTCGGGCAGGAAATCTCCCACCTCTTGGACTGGGGGAGAATGCTCAATGTAGGAGAGGGGCCTAAGCACGGCGGATGCCGTACACTTGAGTGGCAAAGGAAAGCGAGATCATACCAGTTTTTCCAGGCCTGTTCGGACATATGGTTCCTGAGGCGGATCAAGTTGGTGAGCGTGCGATGGCTTAAAGACCCTTCGACTCCTCGCATTTTCTTCGATGATTTCCCACCCGAGATGCTTGATTATCTCGAACTCTTACAAGCTCGTCGGAGTTATGAATTCCTGGGAGTCTTGTGCAACTGTTATTTGGTATGAATTCTGGAAACAACTGATTGTTTGATACACTAGAACCGAAGATTTTAACTTCTTTAATAAACATTCTGTTTAATTGTTGAACATCATGAAAATCGATTCTTTATACAATACGCTAATCCAACATAGACCTAGTCTGTACTGCAACCTGAGTCCACCATAAACTCAGTGCTAACTGATCTTATTAAGAAATTTACACAATCATGGTGAAGCAGTAACTCAAACCAAACTAAGAAAACAATGCCAAAACCAATCATAACGGTCCAATTCGGTATTAAATCCAAGCTTTTTCACTGCTGCAAACCAAGCACTCATACTAGCAAGTGTATGTAATGAGACAGTAGCTTCATCTCCCCTTGCAAGTCCATGGTCTACCATGCTCCAACTTGGAAAAAGGTTTGAACCTTCTTAGGACTGGCAAGGGTCATAACTTCTTGTACTTGTAATCATCGTCTCAGCCAGATCTCAGTCTCGAAACATCGTCAGTTGGAGTTGGACTGCCCAAGGAATTCGTATCATCTCCAGATTGTTTCATTAGCATCTGTGAAAATTGCATTGTGATGTTCCA